CAGCCGGCGCGAGAGATTTTAAAATTCCGACCGCTTGTCACACATAAAATGACGTTTTGGTACGCTAATTATTCAGCTTGTGTGGTATATACTAAAACAATTATTCGCCTCAGTGTCGGTGAAAGTGATGGATATTTACCTCCACTTCGGTGGAGTTGGTAGTAGTAATCGGTTTTGCAATTTTCGTACCCAAGTAGCAACAGACAGAGACGCTTCAGGGNGGGGGGTGGGGGCGTCAAATATTCAACGCCCCTGAAGCACAGTATGAGTTAAGACACTTCTCATTGTTCTCGCGGATTAAATGTCACGACTAATGCGACTACCATGGCTGTTGTAGTGATAAAATAACGGTCTCGCGCAATGATCTTTTTGAAACAAAACAAGTCCAGAGTTTTATATTGCCTATATACGAAATATACGAAATCAGGAGGAAATGCATACATATGACAAATACAAAGATCTAAATTATTATTCCAAATTGAAAGGGCTAGCTTGCTGCCCTAAATTTTCCATTCTATGCTTGGTAATAGAAATTTGGGTCAAAAGAGATGCTTTTGCCAGTATTGGGTCTACGCCATCAAACCTGATATTCGACATATATTTATTGCTTTCAGATGGATAGCAGTAGAGAAGGAAGATGGAAAGTTGGATCTAGAGTTACAAGTCGCTAGCAAGAAAGAGATTTCAGGATTCAAAAACTTGTTCTACGCTAGGACAGCTACAAAACTTGGAGAGAAGCATCTATGGCTGTCACTTTTTACCAGACCGCCGCATAACCCGTTCACGCGGGCTCAACGCCTGGCATGCTGTATTTCGATTCTCTTTGCGGCCATGGTAACCAATGCCATGTTCTACAACTTTGGTACACCGCCAGGCGATGCTGTACAGGTGGGACCCTTGAAAGTGAGCCTCACACAGATCAAGATCGGCATCCAAAGCAGCATAATAGCCATTCCTGTCAATGTGCTTGTCGTTACTATCTTCAGGCAGTTAAAAGCGCGAGATGCAGGTAAACCCGAAGGAGGGGGAGGTAAAAGTCAAGGGTGTCTCCCGCACTGGTTCCTCTTCGTTGGTTGGTTTATCTGCACAATGGCAACGCTGGCCTCTGCTGCGTTTGTTGTGTTTTACAGTCTCATGTGGGGCGCAGAAACCTCTAACGAATGGCTTGTGTCTGTTATGGTGTCCTTCTTTCAAGATGCGATTGTCATGCAACCAATGAAGGTTCTCCTGGTTGCATCTATCTTGTCAATCTTAGTCAAAAAGCCACCAGAGCAGGAAAAAGTCATGGGAGACGCTGTCCAGAGAAACGCGGCAGGAGAAGTCATTACTCTTGATCAAGCAGAACTCGAGAGGGCACGCAAGTTTAGAAGCAGTCTTGTTCAAGTTGGGCGTAAAGTAGTGGAGTTCGTACTTTTCGGAATATTTATTACTCTTATGATGGTTGTGTGTTATGGCAACAGAGGAGTTGAAAGATTTATGGTCACTCAGTCCATGGACGACTTATTTCAGACGTTTAGCAAGGTAAGATATGAAAGAAACAATATAAGGCGGTTTGCCATTTAATCTAACCAGTGAGATCAAAGAGGTTGTACACCAAAACAAACTAGTCATGTTTTACTCGAGAGGGGAGTGAGAGGGGTTTTCCGCATTAGAACGCACTCATTAGTGGCATAGGAAATCCGCAGTTGGAAAAATAATGCCACCATTGGTCTTTGTTAAGGAGCACTGCACGGAGACAGTGGGTTAACCCTCCTTTGTTATATTAGGGAGCTTACGCAAACCACGACGGCAACGGCAACGAAAACGCCGTCAAACAAACGTTTTAATGAACAGAACAATAGTTGTGCACGTGCGTTATAAATCTTTGTACATTTCTTTGCCGTCCTCTGCAAAACAACAACGTGAAATGACCAAGTTTTGGGTATTTTTAAGAACTTGAGCCACGACGGCTAATTTTTCGTATTTTCTTCCAAAATTATTTGCTGGCGTTACATCTTTAGTTTGAGTAGGGTTTTAGACCGCTCGGCTTGCAGAACAGTTCTAGATAATTGCGAAATTCGAAGGTAAAATTTAAGTCCATTTTTTCCAGCCGTCGTCCTTGACGTTGCCGTCGTCATTGCTTAAGCTTCCTAATAATAGAAAACGAATGTCCTAAGAATTACACGGGCCTTGCTCAAGCGTGCGAGCGTGCCGTGTGCGTGCGTTCACCTTATTCACTGTTTTCCCGTGGAGGGTCACAAATGTTCGTGAAAGGAAAGTACTGTAATTCTTTCGATTGATGTTGGAAACCTCTGAGCAACTCTATGGAAAATATGTGGTTCTCACAAAGTCTTCCTTAGTTACAATCTTTTACAAGTATTGTTCCTTTTACAGTAACCCTTTCCATTTGTTTTATTCGTAATAACGAGACATTTTCTACGAAACAATACTTAAGATGCATCTCTACTTAGGAGGCCCGGCCAATTAGAAGTTAGTGCCAGGTTATTTGCCTTCGCTCAATTCAGTTCTTGAAAATAGCCGCCTTCATCAACCGGGATGGCGTTAGCTGCTTACAAACAAACACATCTCCTTTGCTCTTTTAGGTAAACAATGTCCCGTCGTTCTGGAAGTGGTCGAAGAAAGTTCTAGTGCCCAACCTTTACAATGTCGACTGGTACAACGGCCGCCCTTTTCAATACGAAGAAGGATTCCTTAGCAACCGTGCAGCTTTCTTGGTTGGTATGCCGAGAATGCGACAGTTACGAGTCAAAACAGGTCAGTACGACGTTTAGGTTCGGATTCTGTCCTAGAAGTAAATTAGGCGTTCACTCAAGACTGCTCTTCTCACGGTGATCAGGTCTCTTATTCCATTTGGGCTTGGTTAGGTATAAAAGCAGTTAATATGGCCATGTTTAGCTGGGCAGACGACTAATGCGTCTCTGACATATGATGCGACTAACAATTACTACGTCTAGTTAAATACGAGACACATAAATCCCGTCTGACCAAAAACGTCATTGTGTGATTAACTATTGGACGCTTGATTACAAATGTTAGCTGAGCGAATGTTATGTCTGATGTGTCTCGTGTTTATGCCCACGAATTATACTTCTTTGGTTATTTTCAGCTGACCTGTTATGCGTCATAACTTCCGTATTTGCCTAGTTGCATAATACGTCTAAGATAGTTAATTTTCTGAGACGGCCAATATTAGGTTTTTTAAACCCCAAATCACAAGAAGTTGAAAGGGCACAGATCGCAACTGGAGCAAAAGGTCTGAAGCATGTACGCCCTCGCTGAAATGCCTTGGTTGAGCAAAGAAAAGAAACTTACCTATTCACATCCCGAGAAGAATAGAAATCGCGCAAAAAAGATTATTGCCTCTGTACATGTGAAGTAAGAGAAAATTTTAAGTGTATACCGAATTCGAAGAATCAAACTGATGCATTCAGTCCGCTCTTCATCTTTAGTTTCAAAACTGTAGACAGCTTTGAATTGAGCGTTTCTAGGAAAAAACAAAGAAAGCAACTGATGTTAGTTTTCATTTAATCGATTAAAACTATATTGATCCATGTCCTGCTGCTCTTGATCAACAGAGAAAAACTGCTCAATTGTGAAGAATGAGCCCATCCTGGCAAGACAATTCTCGAGATGCGTTCCATTCTACACCGGTGAGGCGGAAAATGTGTCTCCATACAACAGACCAGGATGGATTCCGGTCCAAAACGCCAGTGTCTTCTACTCAGACTTTGAACTCGACAAGGAGTGCCCCAGACCTTGGCGCTATCGGAGACCCGACGATCTTCAGTTGAGACCGTACGGTGGCCAGATGGCCACGTTTGTAGGAGGTGGTTACATAGCCGACCTTGGATACAATTCTCGCACTGCACTAAAGGTTATCGGGGTGTTAGAAAATGATGACTGGATTGATGACCGAACGGTTGCAATTTTTACGGAATTCACCATTTTTGAACCTTCTAGCTCGCTCTTTTCTACGATTAAACTACTATTTGAAAGGTCCCCGACCGGTGGATCGAATGTCGCGATGACGATAAAGACCCTTTCTCTCTACGCTCCGCCCGATTTCCGATCAACATTCCAGATTTGTCAGCTTCTGCTCATGATTGTTCTCATCGTCTTCTTCTTTGCTGAGATCGGAAAACTTCGTCGCGAAAAATGCTCATACTTCATACAGATATGGAACTGGCTGGAACTTCTGCAGATCACTAGCACCATTTGCTCCTTGGTGTTCTTCTTCCTCAAAGAGTCGCGAACGAGCCAGTACGTGAAGAAACTTCAGGAGAATCCCTTCGAGACGTCAAGCACCGACAATATTGAATACTTATCTGATATGGAGACCTACGTGCTTGCTTTCGTTCTCTTCATAATCACAATAAAGTTTTTGAGGCTCATCAAGTTTAATCGCCACGTTTGTCAAGTCATGGGAACGTTGCAGCGAGCAGCCACGCAAGTTTTGTCCTTCATGATGGTGTTCGTTACAATTCTATTAGCCTACACCCAAGTTGGGTTTTTGGTGTTTTCATCGAATGTCGATGCGTATAGGTCCTTTTACAGCTGTTTGCGTGCCATGTTGCTGTTGCTTTTTGGAGGTGACATGCGCTTCCAAGAGCTGAAGTCCACCAGCAGATATATTACACCGGTGTTTGTATTCGGTTATCTGTCTTCCATGGCGATGGTTCTTTTGAATATGTTTCTCGCCATCTTGAATGACTCTTACTACGAAGTCAAGAACGTTGAAGCTGGTGATTCGTTTGCTGATGCAGAATTGGGAGCATTCATGGCTGATTACACCAAGGAAAAGATCAGCAAACTCAAAGACGAAACCTTTGAGCTTATAGAAGGCACGATTGAGAGCCTCATAAGCTTTGTACGGAGTAAAAAGCGACAGCATGAGCATGAAGAGGAGTTTCCTCCAGAGAAGGTGGAGCCCGTAGGTGGAAAGATCCAACTGGCTTCGTTTGATTCTATGGAGGACATTGGAAGCTACGAGGACGAGGATGTGGAAGATGAAACCCATCCTCTTTCAAAGGCAGCATCCCTGAACAGTATGGTTGACTATAGTGTATCACTCACCGATCTTAAAGAAACCATTCTGCAGATTGGCAGAGAAATGCGCCAATCCTTGACGTCTCTTAGATCGGCCGTGAGCAATCACTCACTTAACCAACTATCATCACGGTGTGACTATACCCTTTCCCTTGACTTACTCGCAGATGACGACGAAACATTGAACTGTCAACACAAGCCGTCGCCTTACTTTTCTGCATTTGGAAGTTACCTCGAAGACATTTGGCAAAAAGAAGAAGAAAGAAGAAAGAAGGAAAGAAAGAAGAAAAGAAAGAAAGATCGCCACTATCGCCACTACAAACGAAGACAGAAGCTTGCTAAGATCGACAATTACGAGAGACGCCACATGCTTAGGCCAGCGGTTCAACGCGAGGCGGTTGTAACGTTTTGGTGAAATTAAACTAAATTTATACAACCATATTTTATTCATAAAAGCTTGAACGTTTAGACTAGAGGTGACGAATGGTGAAACCAGTGACTCGCGGAGGTGCCTAGTCTCCGAGACTCATCACGAAAGATTCCGAGATTTTGAGATCTGATCCAAAGTTTCGGAGACCCAAGATCGTTTAAATACCATTCGCAATCCTTAATACTAGTAAAAGCTAGTAGAAAATATATATAATTATAAACGAAATATGATTTCTGTTTTCATAAAATAATATAATACAGAAAGTAGGATCGCTTCAATTCATTATCAAAGAAGTGAAATAAGAGTGATCGAATCAGATCGCCCACGTACGTGCAAAATTACAGATTAAATAACTAAATAAACCTTCATACCGCGTGTTGGTGATCAAAGTTATTGTACTTGTGACTTAAATCTTAGGTCCACAAAAGACCAGTGTATGACATTTGCAGCCTGCAGAGTACAGAACGCAGAATGCAGACTTTTAAACTTATATTGTATTCTCAAGTATTCTCATTTCCATTACCGAGAGCTAACCGTAAACAGGCTAACCTGAGCGTTATTCAGGCATACCTCTGCAGTCTGCAAATGTCATACACCGCCAAAAGACTGAGGTATCGACAGTTGTCAATATATCTATTGAATAGAATTCAACAAAAAAGGTTCCAAATAGTGGAAACTCAAACTCCTGGCGGACAAAATGATCTCACATCAGCACCAGATGTTTTCATATCAGGGGCATCCATTCTGTGGAAGGTTCACTTGCTCCCAGATAAACCAGAATCTGTGATACCTCTTCTACATAAAATGACCTACATGAACCCCGGACTTTTTCATGAGGGTGCTCGGGAGCAAGACAAGAAACAACCACAAACTCAACCGATATATGACATCAGGCCGAAATTCAACCCGGGTTACATTAGTGGGAGGCGAGGGCTCTCATTCCTACACGCCATCCGTGCTTACCTTAGATACAAAATACAAGTTATATGGACACTCTACTCTGTCCACTTGGTGTCCATATCAAAGAGGTTCTTTTATAATGCGAAGTAACCCAAGCACTCGATCGACAACTAACAGTCTGTTGCCGAGGTTTCCCTTGCGACCTTTGGGAAAGAAGAACTTTGTTTGGTGTCGGTATGGAGAACTTCCAGAACAGAGTGCTGGTCAGTATGCATATACTATATGTGGACTGAGCATTGCTATCTATATCTCTATTAATTCATGTAAACTATGTACTAGATATATTTTTGTAAATAGTGTAAAACAAAGTTAACTTGACCTGACTTAGCTCAATGATTTTGTACGTGTTACTTATTGACCAGAAAACAGGGAAATACCTAAACACAACTGAAAAAATAAACTCTCCAATACTTGTTTTCTCAGTCATTCTCAAGCCCCCTGCAATATTTGGATGCCAGTATAACAATCGTCTTCGATCTTCGGAATACAAAAAGGTCTTTAAACTTTATGGGCACGGTTACACTGTGGAGGTGCGATCTTCTCCGGAGCGAGCAGTCCGGGTTCGAGCCCTGGCCAGAGACATTGTGTTGTGTTCTTAAGCAAGAACTTTTACCCTCGCAGTGCCTCTCTGCACCCAGACCGGCAAATTTAATGCTGGGGGTAATCCTGCGATGGAATAGCATCCTATCTATGCTCCTAGTCGCTTCACGCTTATTGAAACCGGGATAAGTATCGGCCCGATGGACCACTTGTCTCTTATGCAGACTTGACTTTTTGCTATAAACCCATGAGCGGGTTTTGTTAACGAGAGCACAGTGCCTAATCGTTTTGAACTGTTTNATCTATCTTGTCAATCTTAGTCAAAAAGCCACCAGAGCAGGAAAAAGTCATGGGAGACGCTGTCCAGAGAAACGCGGCAGGAGAAGTCATTACTCTTGATCAAGCAGAACTCGAGAGGGCACGCAAGTTTAGAAGCAGTCTTGTTCAAGTTGGGCGTAAAGTAGTGGAGTTCGTACTTTTCGGAATATTTATTACTCTTATGATGGTTGTGTGTTATGGCAACAGAGGAGTTGAAAGATTTATGGTCACTCAGTCCATGGACGACTTATTTCAGACGTTTAGCAAGGTAAGATATGAAAGAAACAATATAAGGCGGTTTGCCATTTAATCTAACCAGTGAGATCAAAGAGGTTGTACACCAAAACAAACTAGTCATGTTTTACTCGAGAGGGGAGTGAGAGGGGTTTTCCGCATTAGAACGCACTCATTAGTGGCATAGGAAATCCGCAGTTGGAAAAATAATGCCACCATTGGTCTTTGTTAAGGAGCACTGCACGGAGACAGTGGGTTAACCCTCCTTTGTTATATTAGGGAGCTTACGCAAACCACGACGGCAACGGCAACGAAAACGCCGTCAAACAAACGTTTTAATGAACAGAACAATAGTTGTGCACGTGCGTTATAAATCTTTGTACATTTCTTTGCCGTCCTCTGCAAAACAACAACGTGAAATGACCAAGTTTTGGGTATTTTTAAGAACTTGAGCCACGACGGCTAATTTTTCGTATTTTCTTCCAAAATTATTTGCTGGCGTTACATCTTTAGTTTGAGTAGGGTTTTAGACCGCTCGGCTTGCAGAACAGTTCTAGATAATTGCGAAATTCGAAGGTAAAATTTAAGTCCATTTTTTCCAGCCGTCGTCCTTGACGTTGCCGTCGTCATTGCTTAAGCTTCCTAATAATAGAAAACGAATGTCCTAAGAATTACACGGGCCTTGCTCAAGCGTGCGAGCGTGCCGTGTGCGTGCGTTCACCTTATTCACTGTTTTCCCGTGGAGGGTCACAAATGTTCGTGAAAGGAAAGTACTGTAATTCTTTCGATTGATGTTGGAAACCTCTGAGCAACTCTATGGAAAATATGTGGTTCTCACAAAGTCTTCCTTAGTTACAATCTTTTACAAGTATTGTTCCTTTTACAGTAACCCTTTCCATTTGTTTTATTCGTAATAACGAGACATTTTCTACGAAACAATACTTAAGATGCATCTCTACTTAGGAGGCCCGGCCAATTAGAAGTTAGTGCCAGGTTATTTGCCTTCGCTCAATTCAGTTCTTGAAAATAGCCGCCTTCATCAACCGGGATGGCGTTAGCTGCTTACAAACAAACACATCTCCTTTGCTCTTTTAGGTAAACAATGTCCCGTCGTTCTGGAAGTGGTCGAAGAAAGTTCTAGTGCCCAACCTTTACAATGTCGACTGGTACAACGGCCGCCCTTTTCAATACGAAGAAGGATTCCTTAGCAACCGTGCAGCTTTCTTGGTTGGTATGCCGAGAATGCGACAGTTACGAGTCAAAACAGGTCAGTACGACGTTTAGGTTCGGATTCTGTCCTAGAAGTAAATTAGGCGTTCACTCAAGACTGCTCTTCTCACGGTGATCAGGTCTCTTATTCCATTTGGGCTTGGTTAGGTATAAAAGCAGTTAATATGGCCATGTTTAGCTGGGCAGACGACTAATGCGTCTCTGACATATGATGCGACTAACAATTACTACGTCTAGTTAAATACGAGACACATAAATCCCGTCTGACCAAAAACGTCATTGTGTGATTAACTATTGGACGCTTGATTACAAATGTTAGCTGAGCGAATGTTATGTCTGATGTGTCTCGTGTTTATGCCCACGAATTATACTTCTTTGGTTATTTTCAGCTGACCTGTTATGCGTCATAACTTCCGTATTTGCCTAGTTGCATAATACGTCTAAGATAGTTAATTTTCTGAGACGGCCAATATTAGGTTTTTTAAACCCCAAATCACAAGAAGTTGAAAGGGCACAGATCGCAACTGGAGCAAAAGGTCTGAAGCATGTACGCCCTCGCTGAAATGCCTTGGTTGAGCAAAGAAAAGAAACTTACCTATTCACATCCCGAGAAGAATAGAAATCGCGCAAAAAAGATTATTGCCTCTGTACATGTGAAGTAAGAGAAAATTTTAAGTGTATACCGAATTCGAAGAATCAAACTGATGCATTCAGTCCGCTCTTCATCTTTAGTTTCAAAACTGTAGACAGCTTTGAATTGAGCGTTTCTAGGAAAAAACAAAGAAAGCAACTGATGTTAGTTTTCATTTAATCGATTAAAACTATATTGATCCATGTCCTGCTGCTCTTGATCAACAGAGAAAAACTGCTCAATTGTGAAGAATGAGCCCATCCTGGCAAGACAATTCTCGAGATGCGTTCCATTCTACACCGGTGAGGCGGAAAATGTGTCTCCATACAACAGACCAGGATGGATTCCGGTCCAAAACGCCAGTGTCTTCTACTCAGACTTTGAACTCGACAAGGAGTGCCCCAGACCTTGGCGCTATCGGAGACCCGACGATCTTCAGTTGAGACCGTACGGTGGCCAGATGGCCACGTTTGTAGGAGGTGGTTACATAGCCGACCTTGGATACAATTCTCGCACTGCACTAAAGGTTATCGGGGTGTTAGAAAATGATGACTGGATTGATGACCGAACGGTTGCAATTTTTACGGAATTCACCATTTTTGAACCTTCTAGCTCGCTCTTTTCTACGATTAAACTACTATTTGAAAGGTCCCCGACCGGTGGATCGAATGTCGCGATGACGATAAAGACCCTTTCTCTCTACGCTCCGCCCGATTTCCGATCAACATTCCAGATTTGTCAGCTTCTGCTCATGATTGTTCTCATCGTCTTCTTCTTTGCTGAGATCGGAAAACTTCGTCGCGAAAAATGCTCATACTTCATACAGATATGGAACTGGCTGGAACTTCTGCAGATCACTAGCACCATTTGCTCCTTGGTGTTCTTCTTCCTCAAAGAGTCGCGAACGAGCCAGTACGTGAAGAAACTTCAGGAGAATCCCTTCGAGACGTCAAGCACCGACAATATTGAATACTTATCTGATATGGAGACCTACGTGCTTGCTTTCGTTCTCTTCATAATCACAATAAAGTTTTTGAGGCTCATCAAGTTTAATCGCCACGTTTGTCAAGTCATGGGAACGTTGCAGCGAGCAGCCACGCAAGTTTTGTCCTTCATGATGGTGTTCGTTACGATTCTATTAGCCTACACCCAAGTTGGGTTTTTGGTGTTTTCATCGAATGTCGATGCGTATAGGTCCTTTTACAGCTGTTTGCGTGCCATGTTGCTGTTGCTTTTTGGAGGTGACATGCGCTTCCAAGAGCTGAAGTCCACCAGCAGATATATTACACCGGTGTTTGTATTCGGTTATCTGTCTTCCATGGCGATGGTTCTTTTGAATATGTTTCTCGCCATCTTGAATGACTCTTACTACGAAGTCAAGAACGTTGAAGCTGGTGATTCGTTTGCTGATGCAGAATTGGGAGCATTCATGGCTGATTACACCAAGGAAAAGATCAGCAAACTCAAAGACGAAACCTTTGAGCTTATAGAAGGCACGATTGAGAGCCTCATAAGCTTTGTACGGAGTAAAAAGCGACAGCATGAGCATGAAGAGGAGTTTCCTCCAGAGAAGGTGGAGCCCGTAGGTGGAAAGATCCAACTGGCTTCGTTTGATTCTATGGAGGACATTGGAAGCTACGAGGACGAGGATGTGGAAGATGAAACCCATCCTCTTTCAAAGGCAGCATCCCTGAACAGTATGGTTGACTATAGTGTATCACTCACCGATCTTAAAGAAACCATTCTGCAGATTGGCAGAGAAATGCGCCAATCCTTGACGTCTCTTAGATCGGCCGTGAGCAATCACTCACTTAACCAACTATCATCACGGTGTGACTATACCCTTTCCCTTGACTTACTCGCAGATGACGACGAAACATTGAACTGTCAACACAAGCCGTCGCCTTACTTTTCTGCATTTGGAAGTTACCTCGAAGACATTTGGCAAAAAGAAGAAGAAAGAAGAAAGAAGGAAAGAAAGAAGAAAAGAAAGAAAGATCGCCACTATCGCCACTACAAACGAAGACAGAAGCTTGCTAAGATCGACAATTACGAGAGACGCCACATGCTTAGGCCAGCGGTTCAACGCGAGGCGGTTGTAACGTTTTGGTGAAATTAAACTAAATTTATACAACCATATTTTATTCATAAAAGCTTGAACGTTTAGACTAGAGGTGACGAATGGTGAAACCAGTGACTCGCGGAGGTGCCTAGTCTCCGAGACTCATCACGAAAGATTCCGAGATTTTGAGATCTGATCCAAAGTTTCGGAGACCCAAGATCGTTTAAATACCATTCGCAATCCTTAATACTAGTAAAAGCTAGTAGAAAATATATATAATTATAAACGAAATATGATTTCTGTTTTCATAAAATAATATAATACAGAAAGTAGGATCGCTTCAATTCATTATCAAAGAAGTGAAATAAGAGTGATCGAATCAGATCGCCCACGTACGTGCAAAATTACAGATTAAATAACTAAATAAACCTTCATACCGCGTGTTGGTGATCAAAGTTATTGTACTTGTGACTTAAATCTTAGGTCCACAAAAGACCAGTGTATGACATTTGCAGCCTGCAGAGTACAGAACGCAGAATGCAGACTTTTAAACTTATATTGTATTCTCAAGTATTCTCATTTCCATTACCGAGAGCTAACCGTAAACAGGCTAACCTGAGCGTTATTCAGGCATACCTCTGCAGTCTGCAAATGTCATACACCGCCAAAAGACTGAGGTATCGACAGTTGTCAATATATCTATTGAATAGAATTCAACAAAAAAGGTTCCAAATAGTGGAAACTCAAACTCCTGGCGGACAAAATGATCTCACATCAGCACCAGATGTTTTCATATCAGGGGCATCCATTCTGTGGAAGGTTCACTTGCTCCCAGATAAACCAGAATCTGTGATACCTCTTCTACATAAAATGACCTACATGAACCCCGGACTTTTTCATGAGGGTGCTCGGGAGCAAGACAAGAAACAACCACAAACTCAACCGATATATGACATCAGGCCGAAATTCAACCCGGGTTACATTAGTGGGAGGCGAGGGCTCTCATTCCTACACGCCATCCGTGCTTACCTTAGATACAAAATACAAGTTATATGGACACTCTACTCTGTCCACTTGGTGTCCATATCAAAGAGGTTCTTTTATAATGCGAAGTAACCCAAGCACTCGATCGACAACTAACAGTCTGTTGCCGAGGTTTCCCTTGCGACCTTTGGGAAAGAAGAACTTTGTTTGGTGTCGGTATGGAGAACTTCCAGAACAGAGTGCTGGTCAGTATGCATATACTATATGTGGACTGAGCATTGCTATCTATATCTCTATTAATTCATGTAAACTATGTACTAGATATATTTTTGTAAATAGTGTAAAACAAAGTTAACTTGACCTGACTTAGCTCAATGATTTTGTACGTGTTACTTATTGACCAGAAAACAGGGAAATACCTAAACACAACTGAAAAAATAAACTCTCCAATACTTGTTTTCTCAGTCATTCTCAAGCCCCCTGCAATATTTGGATGCCAGTATAACAATCGTCTTCGATCTTCGGAATACAAAAAGGTCTTTAAACTTTATGGGCACGGTTACACTGTGGAGGTGCGATCTTCTCCGGAGCGAGCAGTCCGGGTTCGAGCCCTGGCCAGAGACATTGTGTTGTGTTCTTAAGCAAGAACTTTTACCCTCGCAGTGCCTCTCTGCACCCAGACCGGCAAATTTAATGCTGGGGGTAATCCTGCGATGGAATAGCATCCTATCTATGCTCCTAGTCGCTTCACGCTTATTGAAACCGGGATAAGTATCGGCCCGATGGACCACTTGTCTCTTATGCAGACTTGACTTTTTGCTATAAACCCATGAGCGGGTTTTGTTAACGAGAGCACAGTGCCTAATCGTTTTGAACTGTTTCCCCTCTTAATTAACTCACGCAACACTAGATTTGAGTTCCGTGTTTAACAGCAACATCATGTCTGAGCTATATAAGAGTCACCGCAGTCAAAAATTGAATTACGCTTAGACTGACGGTTTATCTGTTTTGCAGGCTAACTGACACTAGCCGATCATAGAACGTCCGAGTTTGGTGGTGGACAGAGGGAAAAGAATAGGTCGCTTACGATGTGAGCCTCCCTGGGGGAACGCCCACATAAAAAGGACGGGGTACTTGTTGTGCCTTTTAGGGGTTAAAAAAAGGCGTTTTTGGTACCTCTTAGGGTATTTAGCCTCAAAAGGTCCAAAGCGGGAACTTTTGGGTACTTTTTAGGGTTTTGGGTCGAAAAATTATGACAGGGGATAATGTAGACATGATTGATTGTCGCAGTTATGAACACAACTTATAAGCAGTCGTAAAATTAAATGAGAAACAAGAAACTGCAAGAGACCGCATACGATAAACGCTGCCAACGTAGGATCTACAAGAGATCTGA